CATGTCAGTCACAGAAGAATTGATGGACCTGAAGATCATCCAGTTCAGGAAAATAAGTCAGATTCAGAAAGACAGACGGTGTATCTTCTCTCAGATGCATATTCTAGAAGTAAAAAGATAGGCATGTAGAAGGGAGGCAGGTGTTATCTAATAGAAGACAGGTGGAGGGGAGAAGAAATTGAGGTGCATATGATAAAAATTTACCACATGAATGTATATGTGAAATATAATGAGAGATTTGAATGTCCATGTGAATACTATGCAAGCTGCTCGTCAACCCACATACAAGGGTCAGATAACGGTGGCAGGCAGGCGAGGTCACACTTGGCACAGGTTTCGAGTAGCCAGTCAAGAGAAGACTGGGGCGTAGGTGCTAAAAATGGGAGTGCTGGGGAGCAGATCCTGGGAAACAACAGGTACCAAGGAATAAAGCAAGAAACCAGTTACTAGAAAGTGAAAATGAAAATGCCAAGGTCAGAGCAGGATCGACTGTGCAAATAGGAGTAAGATAGATAAGTTATGTGTGATAGGTTGTATGGGTGTGTGTTGTGATGATAAGATGAATAGTGGATATTCAAATTGACTGTTTCTGGATATGACAACTAAAACAAATCTAGCAGTCAGTATATCTGCATTTAATATTCTTCATATATGGTCCAGACATGAAGTAAAAGAATAAAATTTAAAATATAGATATGGTTTGATTATACTTTGTTTTTTAACATAGTTGCAAGGACTGACTCACAGTAAATATACAATACAAATTCCAATAAAAATGTAATATAGGGGCTGGATAGATGGCTCAGTAGTTATGAGTGCTCTCTTCGACAGAGAATTTGGGTTCAATTCTCAGCACCCACATGGTGGCTCATGTCTGTTTGTTCATAGTTTCAATTCTAGGGAATGGGATGCCCTCCATAGGCACCAGGCACACACTTAGTACACATGCATACCCATACACACATTAAATAAATCCTTAAAATTAATTTTAAAATGTATATATAACAAAAACATTCAATGTAATATCATATAAAACAATTGATATTGTGCTCTCATCAAAGATTATATTTTTGGTGTCCTTAAATTTAAAAAAGTATTTTCATGCATACGATTTGCATAAATTAGATGTCTTTGTTCTTATTTATAAGTCACTATACTGTTACTAAATTAGTAATTTCCCTGAATTATAATTCATCACATGCTAGCAAACATCTAATTACATACAACCTAGTAATTTTTGCAAATAATGAATAAATCACATATGTGTATAGCATATAATTAAACTATCTTTTTAAGCACATGGGGGATAATGACCTGTGAATTAAAAGTTATTGTATCAAATGCACATTCATTGGTAACAATTGCAACACATTTGTTTGACTGATGATACCTGCCGTTCTACATTGACTTCTATAGAAGCTTCTGGTTTTCGGGGCAGTTTCTCGAGGAAGTATGGGTAGTGAGTGGTTAAGGTGTATTCTTAGACACCTGGTAGAAACTCTAACGGTCCTTTTGCTATCCTTGGGCCCTGGACACATTACTTAACCACTCTCTGTCTCATGTTCCTCCGCATAAAATGGGAATGACAAACCTTTTTTATATCTTTTAAGGATTGAATGAGCTAAGATTTTAAACATAACATTTGGTCTAAAGAAATAATGTTATGCCGGGCAGTGGTGGTGCACTCCTTTAGTCCCCACACTAGGGAGGCAGAGGCAAGCAGGTCTCTGTGAGTTCAAGGTCAGCCTGGTCTACAAATCAAGTTCCAGGACAGCCAGGACTGTTAAACAGAGAAACCCTGTCTTGAAAACAAAAACAAAAACAAACAAGCAAACAAACAAAAAAAAACACAGAAAGAAAGAAAAAAGGAAAGAATACCCATGGACACTACTCTGCCCTTTGCTTTAGAGGAAAGGGCCCACTCAGTCTATGTTACAAGAACGTTGCAATCCCCAATGAGCCAGTATCTTTTCTCCTTCTTCCTTTTCTTCTTCTGTCACCTTGCAGTGAGGATGACTGTGGTGAGGCTAGTTCTGGCATGTCCCAGAATGCTCTGTGGACTGGTAGGTGACCTCTGTTGCTAGCCGTTAAAAACAATTAAGACTGTGAGATACTCCAGGAATGATGGTGCATGTCTGTAAACCCAGCACTGAGGAAACTAAGGCAGGTTAGGAGGTTAAGGATAAACAAACAGTCTAGCGAAAAACAGGACCGCCTGCAATAGATAGTCATACTCCCTCAAAAACCGAACCAAAACAGCAACATGATTTCTGGGGGAAAGGGAGTCCTTTTCAGTCTTGAGCTTCAGCCGCTATTCTGAGGCAATAAGAAAAAAAAATGCTCTAGCTGGGATGTTACTTTATGAAGCTTAAACACACAGTCTTCCTTAAGTGCCTTGCGTTCTGTACAAACTGCTCATGTCAACGACTGTAATGAAGTGTTTGACACTAGTAGCATGTGAGCCTTCAAACATCTCTACCTTAAAAAGTCCTACAAAGGGCTGGAACATGGCTCAGTGCTTAAGGGAACATGTTGTTCTTGAAAAGGACCCGAGTTTGGTGCCCAGCACTCACAACTGCCTATATAACTCCAGCTACAGGGGATCCAATATCCTCTTCTGGCCTATACTCATTCACTCATGCTTATCCCTACTCCCCCACCCCCCGCCACAGATGTACATATGATTTTAAAAACTAGGTAAAATGTTTTAAAAGTCTTATTGGTTCGCATCTTCTCCAACCTGTCCTCTTCTGCCTGTGGGCCAGTGGATTAAGTGGGTTGACATGATTCAAACAAAATATTTAGTTGATATTTTAAAAATTATTTTTCTTTTTTTTTTGGTTTTTCTTTTTTTCTTTTCTTTTCTTTCTTTCTTTTTTCTTTTTTTGGTTTTTTGAGACAGGGTTTCTCTGTGTCACTTTGGAGCCTGTCCTGGATCTCCCTCTGTAGACCAGGCTGGCCTCAAACTCACAGAGATCTGCCTGGCTCTGCCTCCTAAGTGCTGGGATTAAAGACGTGCACTACCATTGCCCAACCTCTTATTTTTAATTTATATGTATGCATGTGTATCTGCCATGTGCATGGGTACCCCAAGAGGACAGAAGAGGGCATCTGATCTCCTGGGGCTGAAGTTACAGATGTTTGTGAGTCACCATATGGGTGCTGGGAATGAACTGGGGAATGAACTGCAAGAGCACTAAATGCTCTTAACTGTTGAGCCATCTCTCTAGCCCCACTACTTTATATTTTAATCTCTACTTTGATCAAACTTTCTGCTATTTCTGCTATCACAGTTTAAGCCATGACTCTCCCATGACAAGCTCCTAAATTGCTCTTTATAAGCTGTTTGCTTTTTAAATGTGTATTTATTGACTTTTTTATCTGCTTTTTTTTTTCTTTTCTGGGGTGGGTTGTTTGTTTGTTTGTTTGGTTTTCTTCTATTAAAAGCTCTCCTGGTGATGCTTAGTTGTGTTTGGCACTTTCTTCTGGAGAGAAAGAAATATATAAAACAAAAACTGAAAGATGGCATGAAATAAAAACAAACAGAAAGTGTTGGCAGAAATCCCCGTATTCATGAAGTTTTTCTAAAGCAAGTTAGAGTTAATCATTTCCATACTTTCCTGGAAAAGGGTTAGAACCTTGTGCATCTTTGCTGTTCAGCTCTTTGATAGGAGAGCAACTATAAACAAGAAGCTCTTTCCTAATGGAGGAAAACTGTGCTGACTTTAATGCAAGTCTCCTACAATATTCTTGACCGTAAGATAAGCTCTTAAATATCGAGTTACTGTATGTGGACATTTTCTTCTTCTTTATTCACCTAACAGGATCCATTTTATAACCCAGCATGCATAAAGAACACTTGTGTTTTTGAATCTTGAAAATAAATGCATGAACAAAGCCCAAGTCACTAAAAAGACCAACAGTAGTGCCCAGTGGAAGCCAGCCTTGTAAAGTCTATTTATTTTCTCTTCAGATTCCCACTGCCACTCAACTTAATGAATATGATATGTGTTTCATTTGTTGACAGTTTGGTATCAAAACAATGAACTGAAGAACTTAAAAACACTGTAAAATTTACATAATTCAATCATAAGACAGTTTTTAAAGAGGAAATTAATGAAATTATAAAAGTCAGATGTAAAAGAGATTTTTACATATTATTTTCAGAAGTTCTGTACTTGGCAATCCTTGAGACTGCTTTTCTGTAGTGTGGCCCCTGCTCCAATCATCTGCAAGCTGCCTGGGTATCTACCTAATACTTGACCATACTCTCCAAGTCTGCTCAAATCATCCTAGAAAGAGACCTGGTGGGTATTAGCTTGTCCCACCTCAAGTGGCTTAAGAAACAATATTACTTTTTGTAACAAACTGGTAGCTATTTAACTTCAAAATCCAGAGAAATACCATGGCCGAGAAAAATACAAGGATGAAAGAAAGCATAAAAGCTTGCAATTTTTAACAAAAACATCCAAGGATATGTGGACCGTTAGAAATTTCAATGGAATGTTTAAAAAAATGTAGTGAAACTGAAAGATTATAAAAACTGAACAAGATTACTGTTTGGGGTTCAGTCCCAAATGTTCAGTAAGAATTTAAGTCAATATGATTTATATTGTAATATTTATATGCTGTTGCATTCATACTTTCATTGTTCAATTCATTGTGCAGCTAAGTTCCACTACGTTGCCCAATAAGCGACAAGTCCCATTTGAGTACAAAGCAATAAACCAAACACTAATGATTTGTTTTTAACCTACTTTCTACAAAAATACTAAATGCTCCATATTTCAAGCATCTCCACCCCCAATCTTAACAAGAAGTCAATGATAACTAAATTGCAGAAAAGAAAACAAGATTTTCTGAATATCCACTAGAAGATACACAAGATGGCATTTTATGAACTAATTATGTATTCCATTTGTTTTATCTGTCTCCACTGATACTGAATTTCAGGAACAAAGACATATAACAAGTGCTTTATTGCCCTGTTTTGTAAACAGATTGCTCAGAGATTTACAACGATGGGTTTAAGCAGAGTGGATTTTACAAAATCAAGCCTCTCCAGAGCCAGGCAGGATTCTCTGTTTATTGTGATATGTCCGATGGAGGAGGGTGGACTGTAATTCAGAGACGGTCTGACGGCAGCGAGAACTTTAGCAGGTAACTGCTTTTAAGAAGTAATTATTGTGCTCGCTTCGGCAGCACATATACTAAAATTGGAACGATACAGAGAAGATTAGCATGGCCCCTGCGCAAGGATGACACGGAAATTCGTGAAGTGTTCCATATTTTTAAATTTAAAAAAAATTTTAAAAAAGAAGTAATTATTTAGAACAGCAGGTATGAGATTTATGAGTCGAGCCTTCTTACACCTCCAGTTTAGCAATGTGGCGATTTTCCTTTCTCATTTTTAAGTAGGAAAACGAGAGTGAGTGAGCTAATCATGAGAACGTTGGAGATGAGAGAATGGGATGAGTGTCATAGGTGCTGCAGGTATCTATCTGTATTTTGCTAAAACTAACTTTCAGTCTCAACTTTTTTAGGGGTTGGAATGACTATGAGAATGGCTTTGGAAACTTTGTCCAGAACAATGGTGAATATTGGCTGGGTAACAAAAACCTTAACCTACTGACTATGCAAGGTAAGTTTACACTTGCAGGCAGGAGGCAGGAGGCAGGAGGCAGGAGGCAGGAGGCAGGAGGCAGGAGGCAGGAGGCAGGAGGCAGGAGGCAGGAGGCAGGAGGCAGGAGGCAGGAGGAGGCAGGAGGAGGCAGGAGGAGGCAGGAGCCAGGAGGAGACAGGAGGTCTTAGGCTCCATCCCCAGTTCTACAAAACCAACAAAGCCCATGTAGTGTTTTCCACTAAATCACAGGCTCATAGAACGAATTCAGTATACATCATGATTTATCAGATGTAATGATACTTGCTGACCCATAATCTCATTTGTGAAATGCTACTTAAAACATGAGATTGGTAAAATCAGGCATGAGAAGAAAAGACAGTAGGTTGGTAGGGAATACATATTTTCTATTCCTTGAAAGGAAATGTGTTGTCAAAATAATTTTTCAAGACTCGTGTGACAAGTATATATACATATAACTCTCTCTCTCTATATATATATAACTATATATATATAACTATATATAACTATATATATATATATATATAATTTATTACCATAATAATACCATGTGATAAGCCACTTCAAAACAGTAGTAGTTTGGGGCTAGAGGAATGACTCAGAGTTCAAGAGTTCATATTGCTCCTCCCAGCACCCACATCAAGTAGCTCACAGCTGCCTGTAACCCCAACTCCAGGGAATCCAGTGCTCTCTTCTGGCTTCTGAAGGCACCCACACATGTGGCATGACTCACACAGACATACACATACACACACACACACACACACACACACACACACACACACACACATAAAAATAAACCTTGAAAACACAAAATAGATAATTTAAAGTAAATTATGACCCTCTATACAATTCTCCCCATACATGTTCACTTGTCTGTCTGTAACTAGAGTTCAATGTTTGTCTAAAATTTTATGTTTGATAATGATTTTTCAATATTTTATTTTTCATAGCCTCTGGCTCCCATCTATCACCCTCCTTAGCTTACGTACAGCTTGAGACTGTAGGCAGCCCCCTTTGGGTCTGGTCCTCAATGTCTCATACATCCCAGTTGCACTGCATAAGAAAACATGTTAAATCACACTAGCAATGCCAGGGCCTATTTGTTCCAGCCAAGCTCAAGCAGCTACTGGTCAGTCTGTATTCAAAATAGTCAGTAGAGTACTAACTACAAGGATCTTTGAGACATAATCCTGGTAGCCAGAGAGGTTACATAACCTTGGGATGTCATAGTTTCCCCCAGTGATCAGTGTTCTCTAAATCTACATAAGGTCTCCTTTCCCTTAACATATAAATTATCCTGGTTTTAAGAGTATTTTTGCCAGATATGTAACGTTTTATCCTGCCTCTTTCTGCTTCTTTTGCGTATTAGTATTCTTCTGGGTCATTGTTTAAGCTAGGAAAATCCTATTGTGTCATTCTAAGCACAGAAAATTCAAACTTATTTCTCAAGTTATTTTTATGCATGTAGTTGTGCTTAAGTGGACATTTTCAACAAATCTGAATCCCCTTCATCTTTTTTTTTTTTTTTTTGCTTAGTGCTGGGTGTTGAAATCAGGCCTTTGCACATGGTATGCATGAGTTCTACCATGGATCGATCGATCGACACACTCATCCCTTTCATTTTCTTATTTGGTGTTCAAGCGGGTTACTCTTGGGTAGTATAGAGAAATGTATCTATCAATTTCACGCCTTGTAACATATCATAGCTCAAACAAAAGGAATTGCCTCTATCCTTATATTCTTTATGACAGCAGTTAAGGCTACTCAAATTGCCTCTGAAAATAGTTTTATTCCTATTAAGTTTTTTTTTGGTGAGGGGAACTGTCTGAGATAAAAATTAATCTAGAATGATCTCTAATTCCAAGTTTATTCACTTATTGACCAAAAAAATTGAGACAGTTATCTTTTTAAAAATGTGTAATATTAGCTGGGTGGTGGTGGCACATGCCTTTAATCCCAGCACTTGGGAGGCAGAGCCAGGCAGATCTTTGTGAGTTTGAGGCCAGCCTGGGCTACAGATCAAGATCCAGGAAGGGCACAAAGCTACACAGAGAAATCCTGTCTCAAAAAACCAAAAAAAAAAAAAAAAGTGTAATATTGTCTCTCCACTAACACATGCACTTTTGGGGGTACCTAACATATCTGATCCTATTGTGCCCACCCAGGTCACAGGCTTGACCCATATGAGCTAAGTTAATGCTTTTAGAGCGCTCCGTCTAAAGAAAACTCCTCTTCACACTTGTTCCAGAAATGAGAATCCAGAATTTTCCTCCAAACAGCTTTGAACTCTGGTCCTAACACCCATTCAATGCTCTTCTTTTTCTGCCCTTCTGTGGCTGAGCCAGAGGGAAGGGTAAGTGTTGCAGACTTTCTTTGGGCCACCAGCCAGCTCCCAAATCATGACACAGTTATGAGTGCTTGGCCTTATGCTTGCCCCACTAACTCTTATAACTAAATTTAACCTGTTTCTCTTTATCTACATTTTGCCTTGGGGCTTTTTACTTTTCTTTCATTTTGTATGTCCTGCTTTTCCTGCTTCTTCCATGTCTGGCTGTCTCTCTGCTGCCTGGCTGGCTGGACCCAGACATCTTCCTCTCTTTCTCCCTTATTCTCTTCTTTCTCTCCTCCCAAGCCTAGATTCCTTCTCCTACTTATTCTCTCTGCTGGCCAGCCCCACCTATCTTCTTCTCTTCAGCTATTAGCCATTCAGCTCTTTATTGGACTGATCAGATGCCGTAGGCAGGCAAGGTAAAAAAAGCATCACATCTTTACATCATTAAACAAATGCAGCATAAACAAATGTAACACATCTTTGCCTAGTTAAACAAATATTGCACAACAGGTAAGGAACAGCTTTTTGCAATAAGTGTAGACAGAGGTAGGATGTACAATATGGGTATCCACAAGGTATGTCCAAGGTATGTTCAAATGCACATCATTTGATGGAGATAGGAGATGGAATGCCATCTGTAGACTGGACTGAAGGGTTCTGTTTATTTGCACTTGAAACTTCAGTTTCAAGGAATCTGAAACTCTAAATGCTATCTTCCTGTGAGGTTATTGTGGCATTTTATTGAACAAAATAGGAAGGTAAAATATATGTTACCTAGTAGTTTTATTTCTAATTTTCATTTTGAGACAGGGTCTCACTATGTTATCTAGGTTAGCCCAGAAATTGCTATATAGACCAGGTTGGCCTTGAACTTGTCATAATCCTCCTGCCTCTGCCTCCCTAGGGATAGGAACAGAAGTGTGTGCCACCGTACCCATCTAACTTCTAACATTTGACCAAAGTTCTGTTTCAGGAGGAAGACCGGCCTGTTGTTCACAAACAAGGACAATGAGAAAGGGGAAAGGGGGTGACTTTATGTAGCAACTATTTGACTAATTTGTTTCACATAATGTTTTTTATCACAAAGAATTTTTACAGTCATCATAGTATCTTTTTTATATTTGCAGGTTTTTAACATGTATCATTTTTAGCATACACAAATAAAACAATATGCCAAATAAATTAATTTTGTTTTAAATATTTAAATATTAAATATTGGTTAGGAACTCCAGAAAACCTTCTTGATGCAGAGTCACTGATGTCAGTGTGTTTACAGTGATAGTTACCTTCTATGCCATGGAGCAAGCGTAAGGCAGAATTCTCTAGGTGCTCCTCAATACTCTCTTCCAGTGACATCTGTTCCCCAGGCTTTGATGCTAGCTAGCAAAGGAAGGTTTTCATAAAACAACCAAGATTCTTGTTTCTTCTTCAAATGGTTCTTAGACAGTTTGCTAGCTGATAACTTATTCTGCCACGAAAATCAACCAGTCTCATACATAAGCAGGGGATGGTAACTATATTATGAAACACAGCTGGGCTACTAGGGGTTATAAGGTGTTGTTAATAGTGATTAATTCTTAAAATGTAGATTCTTGCTGGGTGGTGGTGGCCCACGCCTTTAATCCCAGCACTTTGGAGGCAGAGGTAGGTGAATCTCAGTGAGTTCGAGGCCAGCCTGGTCTACAAAGTGAGTTCCAGGACAGCCAGGACTGTTATACAAAGAAACCCTGTCTTGAAAAACAAAAACAAACAAACAAAAACTAGATTCTTATTGAAATTAAGAAAAAAGGAATACACATAATTCTTAAAACTCCCATTTTCATCCCCTCCACCCTGCCCTTGAATTTTTTTGAGAGAGAGTTTCTCTGTGTAGCCTTGGCTGTCCTGTAACTCACTCTATACACTAGGCTGATCTTGAACTCACTGCCTCTGCCTCCTGAGTGCTGGGATTAAAGGTGCGTATCATCACTGCCTGGCTAGATTCTTAATCTATTAACTAAATAATAACATTTTTTGCTCTTTATGAAGTGAATCATACATTATTTTTGGATTTGTTTTTATTCTTTAGACAGTAGAATTTTTCCACTTTACTATTTTGCTGTCATTTTCAAGTAAAATAAACAATAAAATGCTCACATTGTATTACACTGGAGTCATGGTTTATTCTTTCTTTCTTGGCAGAGGAAATGGTAAAAGCAAACCAAAACTGCAATTTATTTTTAAACCTAAAGTCATTATTATATTATGCATTTAAAAAAGAAAAACAATAACAATTTCTTATTGTTTCTGTTTTTTTTTTTTAGGAGACTATACTTTAAAAATTGACCTGACAGATTTTGAGAAAAATAGTCGCTTTGCACAATACAAACATTTTAAAGTTGGCGATAAAAAGGTACTAAAAGATTTATATAGACAATGTCTTAAGTTAACACTGAAACTATGCAATGAAGCCCTGAAGTCTGTAGAAATAAAAAATACATAATATAGCCTGTGCTGTTTACTTAACATATTTTTCAAATGTTTCCCACTGATGGTGAAAAATGCTTCTTTTTTTCCCCCTCAGTCCTCTTATGAGTTGAACGTTGGAGAATATTCTGGAACAGCTGGGGACTCCCTTTCAGGGACTTTTCACCCTGAAGTGCAATGGTGGGCCAGTCACAAAAGAATGAAGTTCAGCACGTGGGACAGAGATCACGACAACTACGAAGGGAACTGTGCGGAGGAGGAGCAGTCAGGCTGGTGGTTTAACAGGTTTGCTGCTTGACACACACGGTTGGGAAGGTGATAATGATATCTCACTGGCGGGCACTAATTATGACAAGTGAGGTAATGGTGACCCTATGTGTGATAGTGAGTAATCCTTACTAGGATTCTTCAGCCATGAGGTGCTTTTAAGGACTTGTTCATGGTGTACATTAGTAAAGCCTGAGCACTACGCAACAGAAGCTGGGTGTGATGCCACATTCCCATAATCCCACAGCACTTGGAGGCAGGGACAGGAGATCACCACAAGTTCAAGGCCTGTCTAGTCTACATAGCAACTTCAAGGCTAGCCCGGGACACTTAACAAGATCATGTATTGAAAACATACATACAGACACACACAGACACAGACAGACAGACAGACAGACAGACAGACACACACACACACACACACACACACACACACACACACCATAAACAAAGATTCTCCAGTAATATGTCATGGAAACAAATCAAATTTCTACTTATACAAGGATTTTTTGCAAAATGCATTACTGTTAAGTTGTAACCAGGAGGCCACAAATTGACATAAGGAAGTGGAGAACATGCACACATATACGTATTTGTCAGCCAGGTGTGATGGCTTACATGTGTAATCCTGGCACTTGGGAAGGTGAGGCCATGATGGGTCATATGACGTCTCGGCCAACAGGACCTTGTCTTAAAAATAAATAAATAGCCGGGCGGTGGTGGCGCACGCCTTTAATCCCAGCACTCAGGAGGCAGAGTCAGGTGGATCTCTGTGAGTTCGAGGCCAGCCTGGTCTCCAAAGCGAGCTCCAGGAAAGGCGTAAAGCTACCCAGAGAAACCCTGCCTCGAAAAACCAAATAAATAAATAAATAAATAAATAAATAAATAAATAAATAAGTAGCATCATGAACTGACCTTAGACCCAAGGTGATGTTTTTAATTTGCTTATTTTTATAATAAAGTTTTTTTTATTTAATTTTAAAAAGAAAGAGAAGGAGAAAGGGAGGAAGGAATCTGTGGCACTCTATTTGCCAACTAGCTCTTCACCATATCTTTTTTTTACAAGAGAACTCTGTTGCTGCTATAATTTTAGTACTACTCTTCATTCATTGTGGCTCTTATTAGTTCATTTAATGCAGTCCTTCCTAATGTAGGAAAAATTGCTACAATATTCTTGACACTTAATCCTACCCCAATCGCTGTTTGAATACTTCAACATCATCATCAAGCTCATTCTTTTGAGTGTGGAGGGGCTGGGAGACTGGGTTCTGAGGATTAAATCCTGGGCCTTGAACATGATAAACAAATACTCTACCTCTGAGGTACATCCTAGCTTCATTTCATTTCTGATGATACAAAGTTCTTCATTTTATAAGCCTGAGATATGCTTCCTTTTAAATTTTTATTTATTCTTTTATTCATTTATTTACTTGTTTTTTTGAGACAGGGTTTCTCTGTGTAGCTTTTTAGCCTGTCCTGGAACTCACTCTACAGACCATGCTGGCCTCGAACTCACAGAGACCCACCTGCCTCTGCCTCCTGAGTACTGGGATTAAAGGCATGCACCACCACCACCACCACCACCACCACCACCACCACCACCACCACCACCACCTGGTTTTTTTTTTTTTTTTTTTTTGAGACAGAAGCTCATGTAGCCAGGTTGGCCTCAAACTCACTGTACAGCAGAGAATGACTTTGAACCCCTGATACCACTGACTCTACCTCCCAAACGCTGGAACTGCAGACCCGACATGTAGCCCTCACTGCACCTAGCTGAAATCTGCTCTCTTGCCAGGTTTCCTCTCAGTAGCTAGAGAGGAGCTGCAGTCCCATGTCAACACAATTCTTCAGGCCTTGAGTGAGAAGGAATGCATTGTGTCATTTTAGAGTTCTCCTGCCTCTGGACCAAATGTCCCTGCTTCCTGTATAGCTGTTTTCCAAGCTGCGTTTTTGTTGGATCATCCAGTTAAGGCAGGGATGGAAGCTTCATACAGTTTTCCTTAAAAATGACCCAGTTGGCCTGCTACATCTGCAGAGCAGGTGTGGGACTTGTTAGATAAAGCATCAGCTTTGGAATCTTCTGTTTTCATTGGAAAACAGGAGCCACTTCAAAATGTCTGGGCAATTAAACTTTCCATGAAGAAATCTTTGGCAATTTTGGAGTGTCATGTTTTTTCATATAACTGGACTAGCCATGTAAATCCCATAATCTTTATATTTTTTTCTTAGTGTGATGAAAGCATTTTATACTCTCTGTGCTATGAGTGGATCTGTTCTATACATGCTAAAATTCCTTAAAACTATGAGAGTCTTCATTATAGCATCGCTTGTTGTGCTGTGTTGGCTTTTAATTAATTATTTTTTGGTTTGTGTATTTGAGACATGGTCTTACCATGAAGTGCAGTCTGCAGTCTGTCCTCAAACCCCTGGCGACTCTCCTGCCTTAGCCTTCCAAGTGCTGAAATTGTAGGTGGAAGCAGCCATACCTGGCTGACTTAGAGTGGGAGATTTCAGTGCAGGTACAATGAATTTAAGGTATTTCCATCAATTAAAGTAAGTGTATGCAGTTGTAAAAATAGTAGGCTTCCCACTGGGTTTTACTTTTCCAAAATTTGAGTCTTCTTAACAGTTGGCCATTTATTGAGGAAATGGAGTCACACAACAGTGTGAAGGGACAGAGAAGGGAAATCATTAAATCATTTCTCCTACTGTGCTAATGTGAAACATGGTGAAAACCTTTTCCCTCTTAGCTTTCTTGTTCTTAAAAAAAAATCATTCCCTTCTCCTCCTCTTCCTCTTTAGTTCCTCTTCTAAGCAAGCATCATTTAAGACTTACCTATAATTAACGGTGTCATCTGCGAACATTCATTGATGTCTGATTTTGAACAGACTTAAAGAAATAATTGTTAATATTACTGAGACCTAAAGTGTGTACAACATCCAGGTGGTTAGATTGCTCTACTCCTGAATGGCCGTTGTATACGTATTAAGGAAGGCAAATAAATGATATAGTTGACTTTAGAAATAGGGGTTGAGGAGAACAAAAAAGGCAATTCAGTAGCAGGAACTACCAAAGAAAAAGAGGGAGTAAATTGTTCCAGAAACCTGATCTTAACTCTTCATTTTCCAGTGTCACATTCTAATGTACGGGAATTGTAGGCACTTCTCAGTGTTTCTCATGACTGAGGCTGGAATTGCAACGCCCCCTATGGGCTTATGTATTTGTAGTTCAACCCTGGCCAGCTAGGAGTCCTCCACTTCCTACTGAGTCCTCTGAAAAACAGCCGCCATGTGTTCCTGCCACTGATGCTTACACCCTATGTCTGTCCGTCGCCCCCCCCCCCGCCCCCCGGAAAGACTCTAACCCCCTGATTCATGAGCCAGCATCAGTCTTTTGTCCCTTAAGTTGTTTTTGTGTGGTATTTGGTCACAGTCAAGAGAAAAAAAAATAACTAAACACTCATTGTTGCCTCCCTTGCCTTTCTGGCCTCGTACTTTAGGCAAGTCGTGTCCCTCCCCCTATCCCCCTCCCACCCCATCTGTCCCCCCAAGTGCTTCTTTACCTGGGAGCACCAACCTTTAATAACTAGTGTCAAGTCCAGGCTAGAAACTGAAGGATGCTGGAACACTTGTCTCGGAACACTGAGTAGTATCGCCCATTTCTCAACAGGCTCCAAATCAGACCAAATATAATAGTTTCTCTCTTTAAAGACATGCCCAAATATTTATTCTGGATATTCTGGAGGTTTTTCTTTTTAAGTGTGACTTCTCCTGGTACTTTAAAAACACAGTGGGTACTGAATCCCTACAGATTTAGCATGCATGGTTTCAATTAGTCCTAATTTTTTAAATTAGGAGGAGTGCCAGGATGGTCAAGGAAAGCAAATCACTGAAAGCTCAGTGATCTAAGCCTGCTTCTTTGCATTTATGAATGAATTATCTGCTTTTCTGATTCAATGGTTTTTTTCCCCAGAACTACTTCTGAGTATTCTTCGCATAGCCTACAGTCTGATATCTTTTCATAAGTTACATCAATAAATAATATATGGTGATTAATCTCATAACAGGAAAATGACTGCAAACTGTTACATGACATTTATGTATGCCAAGGACAGACGAGTGTGCAGACACCAGAGGAGGAAGAAGGAAATGTTTCCATTTTACAATGACCTCACAGACCTGTCTAGATTGGTGCAGTATATGTAAAAAATTAACCTGGTAACTCAAACAAAAGATTGTTTGCTGATAGCTAGGAAGTACTTTAAAAGGAAGTTTAGGTTCTGTTTGCTTCTCTTGAAGATTCAAATATTTGATACGCTAACAATCAAAGAAGGGAAAGAAGGGAATTTGAGTCACGAAAGCCACATCTTGACTGTAGATTGGTGAGCTTGGGAGCGCAAGCTGCCCAGGACGCTGCAATAGAGCCAATTGTCCCACATCCTGCTTTGCTACGCTCGCCATCTTGGCCAAGCATGAGGTTAACACTGTTCAGCCAGGAGGATATAGATGAAGGCTACAAAGCAGTTTTTTCTTTCTTTCTTTCTTTCTTTCTTTCTTTCTTTCTTTCTTTCTTTCTTTCTTTCTTTCTTTCTTTCTTTCTTTTTTTTTTTTCTGTTTAAAGGTGTTTTAGTTAGGGTTTCTATTGCTGTGAAGAGACACCATGACCATGGCGACTCTTATAAAGGAAAGCATTTAATTGAGGTGGTGGCTTCCAGTTTCAGAGGTTCAGTCCATTATCATCGTGGCGGGAAGCAGGGCAGCGTGCAGGTGCAGGCAGACATGGTGCTGCCTACGTCTTGATCAGAAGGCAGCAGGAAGTAGACTCCCCTTCACACTGAGCAAAAGCTTGAGCAAAGGAGACCTCCAAGCTGGCCCCCAGTGACACACTTTCTCCAACAAGGCCACACCTACTCCAACAAAGCCACACCTCCTAATAGTGCCATTCCTTATAGCTTATGGGGGCCAATTACATTCAGACCACCACAAAAGGCTACTAAGAACTGCAACGGCTATTTTTCAACACACTCCAAGTGGTCTGGGATGGATCCTCACATTTACCATGGGACCAAAACTCACCTGTTTAAACAATAACACTCATGTGTATAAAGGTCTCAGGTTTGGAAAACGATATATTTTTTTCTGGGAAACGGCAGGAATCATCATCTAAACGTTTTGATCATTTCTTAGTGAACTTAAGTTTCTGATGTGTACTTCCCTTCTGATGGTTCTGTTTTCTTTTCTTCTCCCACTAGGTGTCACTCTGCAAACCTGAATGGTGTGTACTATCAGGGCCCCTACACAGCAGAAACGGACAATGGGGTTGTCTGGTACACCTGGCATGGGTGGTGGTATTCCTTGAAGTCGGTGGTTATGAAGATTAGGCCAAATGACTTTATTCCAAATATCATTTAGTTGTTCCCATATAGGCTCTTCTTTCTGCAATTCATCTTGTTTCGAAAGAGATGAGAAATACAATCCTGAATAAATATATGCATGGTGATGGCAATTGTGTATGACTGCTTCTCATTCTTCATTCCACCTTTATTAGTTAATGTACTTTAAGTTCAGTAGGTACAGACTATCCACCAAATAAATGTAGATTATGTTAATGTTTACTGAGTTCCTCTGTGTATAGGGGTATGATGAAAGTTCAAACTGAATAGGAAACAGCATAGACTAATTAACATGATTAAGTAATAACACAAGCCTAAATTTGTAATAATAAATTATGTATGGCTGTGTGTGGTAGTGCACGCCTTCAAACCCAGTACTTGGTTGGCAGAGATAGGTGGATATGGAGTTTGAGGCCAGCCTGGTCTACAGAGTGAGTTCCAGGACAGTCAGAGCTACTCAGAGAAACCCTGTTTCATAAAAAACCATAATAAACAAATCAATAAATAGATCATGTATGGTGCAACTGATAGAGCATGAGACAAAGCACAGCTAACGAAGGATATTTTGGCCAAATCTACTGTATAGATAAGTATTATAAGTTGGGCTTTGGATTCAGGTCTCTGACTACAGAACTACAGAACTGTTAAGCACAATCCAGGTTCTTAAATGATATAAACACTGATCGTGTTTTCAGGATATTTCCATACTTTACATTTTCATTCACAGGCCTCATTTTACACTTGATGTTGGTCAATGGTGGAGAAGCCACCAGAGGTTTTATCTTCCTTCATACGTCAGCCCTGGGGAAACATTATTATTGGCATTTAACTGAGCTAAGACTTTCTGAGTTCTGGTTAATGCTCGAAGTTATAAGGCTGGTAAAGAAGCAAAAAATTCGGATCCAATAGTTTGGTGCTAAGTGAAATTATTTGACACCATCCTGTGGCTCTTTTGGAATGAATCTGAATTAGTGTTTTTAAGTGCAGATAAAAGAAAGATCTTCCAAAAACTGCTTGTGTGCTAACTCTGTGCCAGGCCCAGAAGATGCAGCTTGAGCTCAGACAGCTAAATTAGGGGGGAAAGGCATACACCAATCACATACTGTAAGCATTTTTGCCACTGAGGCCATCATAGGCAGGTAAGCAAGATGGCCGCCTCCTGCTGGTGCCAAGAGAACCAGTTCCGTAATCTTACTGCCTCTGAATAATTTGGCATCTTCAGCCTACTGGAACTGCCAAGAATGCCTGGCTTCACTCTGTACTGTGCCCTGTTCATTTTAGACATAGCCAGAGAGCAGTGATGTCCTCAGCTCCCAGACTTGTCACATCTGTCAGATACCTAACATGCAGACACACTTGCAACAATCCTTAATACCGTGTCCCGTCTTGGTTCCCAGCATCCTGACTGCCAGTCAGAACTGTAGCATACAACCTGATATGAAAAGGCAAGAGAAACATGGTAAAGGCAGCCATCCCTCAGTTCCTCTGCCTTCATTCTGGCCTCTCACTAAGGAGAAAGGCTAGTTATAGGAGAAATGATAGAAAACGTCAACTGCAAGAAAGAAGTGCTTGAGAGGGTGAGTGTTCGGCAACAAGACCCATAGTAAGTTCTTAGATGAAATGAGGATGACTTTTTGGAAGTGGGTGACTGGCTTGCTGCTGATCTTTATTAGAAGTGCTATGATCTAATGAACCTGAAGGTAGAGTTCGAAACTCTTGCAGTTTCCAAGTTGTAGAATGTGGATATTTGTATACATTTGCTTGCATACATGTATACATGCAAAAGAGATACGTGCTGAACTTAGTGTGAATTGTGCCAACCGATGGGTAAACATAGAATACTAACGTTGTACTTAGAAAAGTTTTAAAACTTGGTAGTGTAAATATTCCTAGAGTTGGTCACAGATCTAAAAGTTAAGAAAGAGAATAAATATTTTCAAAATATGGTAAGTAGGAAGTAGAAATGTGAGCCTTCATGGCTGTATGATATAAAGCAGGGTCCTGACCTGGTGGAGGTAGGGTGGCAATCAGAGAGACTTCTTAGAACTTCTGAGCTGAAGCCTAAACTAGATACATTTGGGGAAATCATTGCAGGCTGAGGGAAACTTAATGCAAAACACACATAAAACAAGGGTATGCAAAGAAAAAAAATGAAGGTTAAAGAGGTAATATAGTTTACTGACCCTTAATTGCATATGTTATAGCAGGTTTACAGCTTCCGCTCTACAGCATCGTGACCTTGGGTAGGCTGCTGATGTCTCCAAGCCTTGGTTATCCCATCTATAAAACAGAATGTAGGGTTGCTTATAGAGCTATACAAGGGAAACAGCATAATCAATGCTCAAGGTCAGTGTTCTTCAGTAAGAGCTGGTGGTGATGATAGTGAAGTAGGCACTAAAGAAAAATGTTAGGAGCTTTTGGGAGATGTTAACATCATGGCATCTCATCCTCTAAACAGTTCTTCCCAAAGTGGCATTTCTTAACCTTCAGTGTCATCCAAATCACTGGGGCTCTTGCAGACATAAATTCTAATTCAGGGCAGGGCTTAAAATTTGGGTTTTCCAGCCCATGGTTGTACATGCCTATAATTCCAGCATTCAGGAGGTAGAGGCAGTTGGATTATGGCTTTGAGGTCAGCTTGGGACACACAGTAAGATAGTGAGTGCCAGCCTGGAACACATAAGGGAAATATTGTCTCAAAAATTCTGGACCTTCTGACAAGCTTCCAGAAGCCATAGATGTTACTGGTCTAGGAATGAAGTTCTGAAAAATAAGAGTATAGTGAAATCACAGTTTCTTGGGCTGTTAATGTCTAGTACAGGAGAAAAGGCTACCTAAACAAATTTAAGCGATATAAGAAAACAACAGATTTTTCAGATCCTTAAATATGTACATTCTGAAGTTCTAGTTCAGAGTAATTTAGCTTCAGGGTATAAATAAGTCACCTGAATACAGATGTCCAAACAAATAGGAATCCATTCTTCTTATCTAATGAGACCTCAGAAGATAGTCGATTGCTAGCCTAGGTTCAAAGGACTATAAGACAGAAGCTTTCGTCTCTGCAACGCATCTAGTCCCCTCTTTAAAGCTCGATTTGTCCGTTTTAGTTCTGCCTTTGGATGTTAAAAATCAGAAAGAATCAACACTTTTAATTTCTGTCTTATTGGCTGGACTTGAGCCATATTGTTGGGAAAAAAATAATCTAGGTGTCAAAGGAAGGAACACATGAACAAAACAAAAGTAGATCGGCAAGATGATTTCATTTTGTACAAAGTGTGTACCAGAACCCAGATCAGGCTAGTGACACACTTACCAGAATGGTCTCAAAGTGAGACAGTGAGTGTCAGCTTTTGACACAGGGAGAGATTGATTACGTCTCATCCTATTGGTGGAAGCTCAACTTCTCAGTTTGATGTGATTGGCTAATGTGAGCAAAGGAAAAGGAGTGGAGTTTAGGAAATATGGGCCCTTATGGGCTAACTACCTTTAATGGAAACAAACAAACAAACAAAACCCCCATTTTTTTTCACAATATGTTCACACCATCTGGAAGTAAAGACCAACATCAAGTCAACTACAATGGTACCCTGTGTTTCTAGTACCATAATTTCAGTTGGTCAGGGTTCTCTAAAGGAACAGAACCAAGCAGAGATTCTTATTTTGAAAGGGAAAAATCATTACAAGTCAAAAATCAAATCCAGCACAGAAAATTGCAAATCTTGCATCACTAATGACCCAGGATTGTAAACTTGTAATACAATCTTCTGGGCTCCAAAGGGCTTGGGGAGCAACATCCTTGGAAGAATGTTTCATCCTCTTACATCCTGTAACTTAAATATGATGATAACATAGTTACTCTTTTTTTTTTAAGCCAGTTAATGACTCTAGGGTATCAGGGGCCCCAAAGAATCAGGAGGGGGTTTTAGCTTCCAACTCAATGGGATATTTCTTGTCTCTGATAGCAAAATGGTGATTCTTCCTAGAGCTAAAAATTTTTTAGGCCTGAAGAGCACAAAGCTGCAGGAACAGAAAACAATTTTTTTCCCTTAGTGGGTCACCAGGGATGATCATGACTGCTTTTGACTATTTGTTTCTTTAAATGCAGTCTGTCAAAAATGTTCCATAGGACACACTTCAATAAGTCATAAAGAATGAGCTTGGGACAAGTTTAAATAGTATATTACTTGCTCAAGTAGTAGCCTGAAGAACTCGTCCAATTAGGAGATCAAAAGAGGGAAAGCTTTAAAAAAAAAAAAGAAAAGAAAAGAAAAGAAAAAACCCGAAAAGACATTTCCACAAAGAAGTGAATGGGAGCTTAAGGAAGAGTCTTAGAGAAACCTCAGTAGACTAGTCTCCAGTGCAGAAGAGAAGAGCAGAGGGATTAATGAGTCACAGAAAGACACAAGAGAGAGTGAAGGTGAGTGATTGTTGGACTTGGTCAGACTGTTGTTTGCGTTAAATCCATTTCAGTGGGATGGGAGGGAGCCGGAGGGTAGGTAGGACAGATGTGCCATCGGGGAGCATACATGTAAAAGAAACTGGGCTGCTTTGATCCGAAGCCTGCGCGCTAGGAAGACCCACACACTAAAATTCCTCGGCAGGGCGTGGTGGGCCAAGTTTGCAATCCCAGCATTTAGGAGGCTGAAGCCTGAGGAGAGAGAGGAGTGAGAGGTTAGCCGGGCTGATAGTGAGACTCTGTCCTTCAAGCAAAACAAAACAAAAATTAGGAAAAAAAAATAGTAAAGTAGTTAGATTTTACCATTACTAGAATTATTTTCTAGGCTTACCACTTTTTGTGTGTTTGTGTGATATGCCCACATGTTTGCACAGCTGTAGATGTTATGTGTGTGCGGAGGCCTAAAGTTGACATTGAGGGTATTTCTTGATTGCTTTCCACCTTTCTTATTTAGACAGGGTCTCTTAATTGAATCCAGGGGTTATCAGTATATATATGCATATATTAGGTTTTTTTTTGTTTTTGTTTTTTGAAACCAAGTGTCTCTGTGTAGTCCTGGCTGTCCTGTGTAGTGGTTTCTCTGGTCTCACCTGGCCCCATGGTCCTGCAGCTGCTTATAAAATAATCACTCAGAGGCTTAATGTTATTTACAAACTG